AGCATTTAGAATGTTTGAAGCAATTTTCTTTTTATATTGAACTTTAACCATACATTTATTCAGTGAAATAAGTAAGATTGGGAAACCAGGCTTATGAGCTACTTCTAGCTCTTGGCTTAGTTTTATCGGTGCTTATTGTGAAGTATCAGCAGGTGGAGTAGATTCTTAGTATTTTCAGATCTAACGTTGGCATTTTAGGTGTTGGTGAACAGCCATGAAGGTTATGGGGTTAGTTATTTGTGATTTTGCTGAGGCAGGAATTTGTTCACTCTTCTTTGCACTGTGGGCTGGCTGGTCATTTACATAATGAATGAACCTTGCTGACTCCCCAGTGCCCATATCTGAACTTGGTTTTGTTATTTTCCACTTTCATGATGTGCTAAAAGCATTAGCTTTTGGGACGTGGTGGTAGGAGTAGCCTTGGAATAAAGCTTGGGTATTCTTTAGAGTCTTCTAGATATATCCTTATTGAATGTTCAAGTAGAATTAGACCTGTTACTAAAATCACACAAAGGATAAGATCTGAAAATTCTTGATATTATAGATGGGAACATTATTCCATAAAAGTAAGACTTTTTTTTCTATTAACTGAAGTGGGGTTCTCCCTCTCCCCCTTTTTTGGAGATTCAGTTTCAGAGTATTTTTTTATTATTGAAAATAAGGGGAGAAGTAGCGATGAGCATTCTGATAATGTTCATTTTTAAAATAAAATTTTTAGAGGTTGTACTTTTTTTTCTTCCAGAAATTAAAGATGAGATATATTTCTTCTCACTTCTGCTCCTGTCTTTTCTAGTTGTACTATGATAAAACTGAAAGTTTTCTTTCCTCATTTGTTTCGTTTATTAAATGCATTTTCATATATCAGAAACTGGGCACACAGTATATTCTAGAGAAGTATGCATCAACTTCTAAACTTCAGTTCCCTCATCTGTAAAAATGGGGGTAAATCCTACAATGTAAGGCTGTTTAAAGTGTTATAAATAATGCATGTAAAATGCCTAAGTAATATCTTGCACAAAGACAAGTGAAAAGTGTTGGTGGTAGCAATATTAAGGTCGTAATAAAGAGCATACAGCATGGCTAAATGATGTCCCTAGCTGTCATTGACTTCTGGTGACTACTTAGGAGAAATCACAGGTTTAAGCTGTGTTTCCTATCTCTGGCCTCGAGCACACTAAGCATCTCTGTAAGGAACTCAGGACAGTAAAACCACAACACAGCACACAGTAAGTGGCGCAGAAAAATTAAATCATGCAAAATGCGGTGTTGCATTATTGCAAGGTCACTGAAATGTCGGGGGTCAGCCTGTGTGATTAGTGCTATGACTCCTGAGTTCTGGGAGTCAGCCATAGCCCACTCCTGACTAACATTTGGCATCACCTAGTGGTAGAGATGTACTTTGTTCTAACTATCAATGGATAATCGCAGGATGTATAGGACAACACCCGTGACTTCAGTAACCTTTGTTGTTATCTTGGGGCCTGTTTTGTTTGTTTGTTTGGCCCAACTGGGGAAAGTCAGGCGAGGAGAGTGCATCTGCCCTGCTGCGTCTCTCACGGGCTCTGGTTTACTGCCTTTCCCCCCAACCACACCTTGTCCTCAGTATCTCCATCCCATGTTCTAGATCCTTCATCTGCCCTACATT